TAGTAGTAGTAGTAGTAGTAGTAGTAGTAGTAAGAGTAGTAGTAACACAAGTAGTAGTGGTAGTAGTAGTAGTAGTAGTAGTAGTAGTAGTAGTAGTAGTAGTAGTAGTAGTAGTAGTTGTTGAAGTAGTAGTAGTAGTAGTAGTAGTAGTAGTAGTAGTAGTAGTAGTAGTAGTAGTAGTAGTAGTAGTAAACATTAGCCTGGCGAAGGACCTAACCATACGCAGTTGTGAATACCGCAATGGTGAATACAATCTTCGCCCGCGTTCCCTATGTGGCCACGGCTTCCCGCCGGAGCCCGACGTGCTCGGGGGCACGTTCGTGGCCGTCTTCGCGGGCGCCGACGACGACAAGGACGGCGTCCCTCTCACCGAGGAGCAGAAGCAGGAGAGGGCCTTGAAAGTCATGAGGGAGGAGGTGGCGTTGCACGTCGACAAGGGAGTACGACGCCCAGGCGCGGTTGTTGAAGAGGCACAACTATGGGGCCACGATCCTCGTGAGGGGTGTGCCGAAATGGCCCGAGGCCGCCATGCGAACGGTGCCACTGGCGCCTTCGGTGGAGCCCCTATGGGGCCACGATCCTCGTGAGGGGTGTGCCCAAATGGCCCGAGGCCGCCATGCGAACGCTGCCACTGGAGCCTTCGGTGGAGCCCCCTATGGGGCCACGATCCTCGTGAGGGGTGTGCCGAAATGGCCCGAGGCCGCCATGCGAACGCTGCCGCTGGCGCCTTCGGTGGAGCCCCCTATGGGGCCACGATCCTTGTGAGGGGTGTGCCGAAATGGCCCGAGGCCGCCATGCGAACGCTGCCACTGGCGCCTTCGGTGGAGCTCCCTATGGGGCCACGAACCGCGTGAGGGGTGCGCCAAATTGGAGCGGGGCCGCCATGGGACCGCTGCCGCTGGGGCCTTCGGTGGAGCTCCCTATGGGGCCACGAACCGTGTGAGGGGTGCGCCAAAATGGGGCGGGGCCGCCATGCGAACGCTGCCACTGGGGCCTTCGGTGGAGCTCCCTCTGGGCCACGATCCACGTGAGGGGTGTGCCGAAATGGCCCG